ACCAAACCACCACACCACCACCGGCCCCGCCACCACCACACCATCCACCACACCCACCACCACCACACACCACCACCACCACACCACCGCCACCACACGGCCACCGCCACGCCCACGCCACCACACACCGTACCACCACCTCACCACCAACGACAGCGCCAGCACCACCACACCACCACCACCACCACACAACCACACCACCACCACCACCCACCACACCACCACCACCACCACCTACCACCACCACCACCACCAGCAGCACCACCACCTACCAATCACCACCACTACCACCACCACCACACCACACCACCACCACAGCAGCACCACCACCACCACCACCACCACTACCACCACCACCCACCACCACCACCACCAACACCATCCAACACCACCACCACCACCACCATCACCACCACCCCCACCACCACCACCACACCCACCACACCATCACCACCACTACCTACCGACACCCACCACACCCACCACCACCACCACACACCACCACCACCACCACCACACCACCACACACCACCACACCACCACCACCACATCCACCACCACCCCATCACCACCACTAACCACCACCACCACCACACCACCACACCACCACCACCACCAACACGACCACCACCACACGCACCACCATCCACCAGCAGCACCACCACACCCACCATCACCACCCCACACCACCAGCCACCATCCACCACCACCAACCCAACACCACCACCATCACCACCCACCACCACCACCACCACCACCACCAACACCACACCACCACCACCACCCCACCACTAACCCACCTACCACCACCACCACCACAGCCACACCACACCACCACCAGCCCACACCACCACCACCACCCCACCACCCACCACCACCGACCACCTAATCCATCCTGCATGCGTGTACCCAGCGTGCACGCACACGCCTCCATTAACCGATACCAGTCCGCATGCATGTCTTCATGCGAACGACGAACTCAAAGGCCATCGGCGAAACCATGAATACGTCGGATCGCATAAGGCCAGGGGGCGTTGAGTGTAGTGCCGCCGCCACCGCTTTGCGCGCCGCGCCGCCACCGCCGCGGTACATATAAACGTATTACACTGACCGCAAAATGCCGGCTGGTAATTTTTACGCTCCTGTTGGTAATATTTTCTCTTCCTTGCCTCCCCCGCTACCCCACCCTACCCCCACCCTACACCACCAGGCTACGTACGAAGACTGTGCGAGATTGGTTGGCCAATTTACTACAAGAAGGATATTCATCTCCGTAGCTCGTCTCAACTATTGCATATTTCTTTATCGAATAAGGCGTAGATAAAAACAAATGTTTTTATTTACTCCTTATACTATACAAAGAAGGGAATACTATAAAATATAATATGCTCTAACGAAGGAATACTATGAATTAATTTTTTTCTTGACTTCTGGTATAGTATTATTGGTCGTAGATCGTGTACGTGCATGTGTGCGTGCGACGCGTGCGTGCCCCGTGTGTGTGCGTGCATATATATAGTGCGTGTAATCTGCTAGATAGATAGGCCAGGATATAAGGATATAGTGCCAGCGCAAAGTCGAAGTATACCAATTATATATATATATATATATATACTATACTATATATATTTATATTATGTATATATACTATATATATATATATATATATATATAACTACCTATATCATAGTAAGAACTATAATATACTGTAACATGCATTGCCGTCGCTATTGAGGCTAACGGTGATATCGCGTACGTTGTGGATCTTGTTGTGAATGTTACCTTTCAAGCTTGTATTGCGACTCTGCAAGAGACTTATTATAGACAAGTATGTGCGTGCGTGCGTGCGTGCGCGCGCGCGTGTGTGTGTGTGTGTGCGTGCGTGCGTGCACGCGCGCGCGTGTGTGTGTGCGTGAATGCGTCAGGGAGCGTCTTGCCTATAGTTAACGCCACGCATCCACGGCAATAACATCAATATAGTGTCATGCGGCGAGTTTGATATGTTTTTTTTTTCTACGGACGCATTGTGCGTTAAAGTCACCACAGTTGGGGACGATCATGTATATTTATAAAGCATTTTTCGTTCCGATAATGTAAGTACTGCTCTGGAGAAATGGGTGTATGGTACAATGCCGCCCTGCGCTCTGTGTGTGTGCAACGTGCGTCTTGGTTGTGTTGCGTGCCTACCGTGCGACCTGTACACGGGCTGTGTGTCGGCGAGTCCGGTACGTTTCTCTCCTCCTCCTCCTTCTCCTACCCACCCCCACCATCTCTCTCGGATATCATTCATGTGTAATGCGCTGTCTGCCCCAAACCGCCCCCGCGCCGCTGCTGCTTTGCCGCGCGCCGGGTGGGAAGCGCCGCTGGGCTTCATTGACCCCCCTTCTGATCTGGCGCTCGCGAGGGCGAACCGGCCCTCGTGCACTGCTGTAAAGTGCTGATCAAGCAACTTGAAGCAAGCACCACGCTTGGATGAACCGGCCCGAATAGCGAACTGAGAAATAAAAGGGTGCCGTCCGTATTTATTCTGCTTGCTGATTTTCAATGGATTCGTGCAGGGGAGGGGGGTAAGCCCCTGGCCACAGACTTCCACTGGGGTGCAGAAGCGGCCGAGTTTAGCATTAGCATTTGCACTGCGAGCGAGCGACACAGAGAGTGCAGAAGCGAAGAGAGAGAATCCGAGGATTCGGTAATAAGACTGATGTCCGGGAAGGTGGCTCTCGCCCAGGAGGACGCCCGAGGTACTGAGTACGGGCGGCGGCGCGAACGATTGGGATTGTAGAAGATGGGATCGGGTGTTGGAGAGGTGATAGTCAGAGAGAGAGAGACATGCAGAGACGGTGAATGTTCAGAGATGACCGGGGAGAGAGTCCTAGGCTCTGAGAGAGGAGAGAGAGAAGCAGACGCAAAAGAGAGAAGAGAGAGAGACGAGAGATGAGATGAGAGAGAGAGAGAGACAGAGAGACCGAGCAACGAGAGCGAATAAGCGCACTGGCTGGACTTCTTATTTTCATTCATCCTAATCACGAAACAAACGCAGATATTATTCTTCCCTTAAACGAGGCGATGAAAAAAATTATACACATCTTCTCGCCTCGCTCTTCTCTCTCTCCTTTTCTATCCCCCCTCTCTCTTGTTCCCCTCTCGCCCTTCCTCTTCCCACCCCCTCTCTCCTAAAGAAAAATCGTAACTCTATCTTAAACTTGAGTATAAGGAAGGAGACTGAAGAGAGAAGAAGATGAGAGAGATGAGAGACGGAGAGAGAGAGAGAGAGATGAGAGAGAGCAGAGAGACGGAGCGGGAGCGAGAGTTGAGAGATGAGAGAGCGAGCGAGAGAGAGAGAGAGAGAGAGCAGAGAGAGTAGAGAGAGAGCGAGGAGAGAGAGTAGACGGACGGAGACGAGAAAGAATTAAGCGCACTGGGCTGCGACTTAGAGCGCTGTAATGCTAGCTGCTGACACCAACACGGGCGCAGCTGCGCACACACACACACACGCATCCATCGCCTACGCATCCGTTCCTCTCCTCACAGTACCGATCGACACACTCCCGCCTGTCTGCTCGTAGATATATCCTATACAATGCACATGTACGGTATAAAAACATCAAAGGGTCTGCTAGTCAGTAGCCGCTTTGTCTTGCGACTGTTAGCTTAATAGCTTGACATATAGATCTATATCCGTTGAAGAGAGGGTCGTTTTTAAAGTGCCCTTTTCAGTTCTAAAGGGAACTTTAAAAATGAAAGGTGGTACGAATAAGGGGGTAATTGTATTTAGTTAGTAAGTATATCACCGCTAACTCGGTATGGCAATGGCCATTGTTATCCCATCTATAGAGGTGGAAAATATTGCCATTGTGATTTTTTTCCAACTTGGAGGCGTGAACTCTTTGCGTGTCTATGTAATATTCTTTTTCTTCTTTTTATGCTTTAGCACTCGTTTTTTTCCATATGGATTTTATCGTATTCAGTGGTGTACAGAAAACCCCTGCATTAGTGGAGTGAACATTGCTGTTAGAGTTCTCATAACCATTCGCGTATCTGCGTCGTTATAAAACAGAAATGTCTTGCAAACGGGTTTTGTATAATAGGCAGAATTTAAAATAGGCGGAAATGCGGATTTCTGCGGAAATAAACCGCGTTTGCTCCGCGGCGGCATTCGCTTTGATGTCGCACAATGAATGGACGCATTCATTCTCTTCTCTGTAAAACCTTTTATTAAATTATGCACAGTTTTGTTGTTATTTAGCCAATATGCATCCTGAAATATTAACACAAGTTTCCGGCAGTATTGGTTACACAATTCCACACTAATGTGGCGGCGGCGCCTTTGATGTTGCCGTAATGCGGTGGAGATGGGAAATTATTTAACAGTTAAAAACCACCGGGTTTTATGAGCCCTATTGCATCAAAAATTAAAGTACAAGGGAGAGGACAGGCGGCGGTGCGGCTTTGATGTCCGCCCACTGCGGAACAGGTACGAGGGAAATAGAACGAAATCAAAGGCGAGCGGAAAGTTGGCAAATTGCATTGATAGCTTTGATGCTTTTAGCGTTGGTACCCGTCGCATTGTTTGCGCTCGAACGTATGAAAGCCGCGCGAAAAATCACCCACGAACGACGTTCCGTTGTTTGAAGTCTGTTATTTTATTAGCGGCGGAGAGTGAGAGGGGGGAGGGGGAGGGGGAGAGGGAGGGAGAGACGGAGATGCGAATGCAGCAACCACGAAGCCACTTAACGTGAGACGGCGGCTGCTTTGAAGTGCCAGCTATATACGAGATACGGCGGCCGGTGTCGCGCGCACGGCAGACGCGGGCGAGCAGGCGAGAGCGGCGGCGGAGGTGATTTCCACACGATCCTCCTGCTTCCATGAATTCGCGCGGCAATGATGGTAAAAGCTGGGAAGGAGAATCACGTTAGAGCGCTAGGGTAGGTCGTTTCTTTTACGAGGGAAAGAGAAAGAGGATGCAAGGCGCGCCTCATGCATATGCATGCATGACTATTGAGATTGCGTTTTATTCTCTTTCGACGACATCTATCAACTCGCGAGGCAGTGTGGAACGTTATTCTATTCACGACTTCTTACGACGAGGAGGCGTCTTAGCGGAAAAATTATTCGAAAAATGTGATCGGCATACCGCGGTGACGTTAGACACGTCACAATGTTTCGCAACCTTGTCACGTTAATTAAACATCATCATGTTATCAGGCGTTGAGGTGGCTATAAGGGATGTGTAGCGAAGGACTACATTCAGTCCTTGCCGCTAGATAGCGCTGGTGGTACATATTAACGCGTTTTGGTCGCATTGCGCGTGTAGGGGGGTGCTATTATATAAAAAGAAGCATATGGACCCCCCTCCCCCCACACACACACTAATAGCTGACTGAAAATTACATAGGGCGCTATTATGACGCACACAGTAAATGGATGATATGAATGAGAGCACGCCACAGACCATGACGGAGACATGTGGAGCATGATTGTAGACACTAGGCTGCAGATATTTTACTCTTGATATTAGGATGCGATTTTATTATTAGTTCCATTTTATCATTATTCCAAGGCACTTCGGTTTTTAAAGTTTTCGTGTTTAGTCTAACGCCTAGATAATATTTTAGTTTTAACATTGGCTTTAACTTGGTTTAGGCTTGTGAATATCTCCCAGGGAGATGTCCTGAACATGGTTTGAAAAAAAGAAGAATGTGGCAGAGGAAGAGGAGGAGGAGAGCGGAGGCTGTCAGGCGCACTCGACCTTCATACAATACAATGATGTCGTCGCGCTATCTCGCGGCTAAATATCGTATCATTTACGAACAATTTCGTCAAGACTTTAGACAGATTAATTGAACTAATTACTGAAAACTGAACACACGCAAAGAAATCTATATGTTCTTAGCTAAATAGTATTATGTATATTTGTAATTTATACCCAATAAATTAGTCATTCAAGAAAGTCAGCCTACTTTTATTACCAGCAGATGGCGCCCCACATATAAATAGTTTGGTGGTTGATGGCTGGAACTCTATGAGAAATGAAATATACGGTCCATAAAAGCACTTACTGGTTACCAGAGAACTAGTTACTGAACCAGAAGGTGTTTTGATTTTGATTCTCACGGCGATTTAAGAAATTAACATCGGATTCGCGATGGAAAACATTATCAACCAAAAGTGGGCAATCGAGTCCAAGCTTGAGCGAGTAAGC